CTTTAAACAACTGTGACCTCAACTATGACCTTGACTCCCAACTTCACATCAAACCTTGGGCCTTTGTGTTTATCCGTGCCATGACCATATTTCTTGCTGTATTATTGAAGTTAATGTTCGAGGTGAAAGCAGAGATGATGCCCTTCAGAAAAGATAATTAGGTCAAGGGGCCTTTGTGCTTTGGTGTATTATCAAGATTAATGTTCTGGGTGAATGCAGAGAAGATGCCCTTCAGAAATGATAATCATTTAAGTGAAAGCGGACGTTAAATAATGGTATTTCACACGACAGAGCGATGCGTTGACAGGCTGAACTTTCGTACATCATCCAAAAAAAGAAGTTTTTGTAAATTAGTGTGATTTTATCAAAATATTATCAACCCTTCTTAGAATATTAAGTAACCAACCATGTTTTCTGAAGGGCATCTTCTCTGCTTTCACTCCGGACATTAACATTAATAATACAGCAAGAAATAGGAGCATAGCACTCATAAGCGCAAAGGCCCCGAGCTCAATGGGAAAATTGAAGTCAGGGTCAAAGTGAAGGTCACAGCGATATTCACACGTAAAAGCCAATCCAACTGGTCAACGCCAAATAGTTCTTTGTAGAAAATGGTGGCTTAGCGCAAAAATTAAAATATACGAAACTTATTATTATTATTATGAACTGCGACATTACACAGGAAGCGCAGTGTCTCAGAGTCTGTCTTGTTATTCAAATTTAAATACTCAACAAACAAAATGCCATCAATCGGATAAACATTTCTGTCGGGATAAGCTATAAGGTCGGTAAAATAAAAAGTGATTGATTGATTCGGTATGAGAATCTCTATGACCACGGGAACTGGTAGAGGTGCGAAAGTGCAATAGCACCTCACAAGGCTGGGCTATTTGCCACATATGGTAAGACAATTCAGGGACTATTTTCCACATGTGGCAAGTCTGCGTACCTCAATTATCAACCTATTTCAATGAAACTTACAGATCATAATAACTTTAATAATATCTTAGAGTAGCCAAAAATTTCGACAACTTCTGGTTAGCATTTTCAGAGCTATAAGGTTACCACACATTTCATGTGGCACGACTGCAGATCGCAATTAACAACCGATATCCATGAAACTTACAGAATATGATAACATTAATAATATCTCGAAGTAGACAAAATTTCGACCACTTATGGTTAGCGGCTTCTGTGATATCGGGTTACCACACACTTCATGTGGTACGACTGCAGACCGCATTACCCAACCGATTTCAATGAAACTTACAGATTATGATTATATTAATATCTCAGAGCAGGCAAAATTTTTGCACAAGTTCTCCTTGGATTGGAAAAAATTGAAAATCGCTCTCCTGGAATTGCGGACAGTAAAGACACATGCAATCATATGTAATGCTCTTTATTTGAAGAATAAACCACTTCATTGCTATTAGTTCATTGATATTTTCCAGCGTGGTTTCCCTTTGTCAGGGGTGCAGGACAAGAGGACCTGACAAGGACAGCTGTCTAGTCATTTGGATGGGATAAAAAAAAAAGAGGTCTGTGTACACATTGGCGTGCACGTAACAGACCCCTTGGCAGTGGGAATTCTATATAAGTGTAGGCGGTAGCGCCACTGTCCCAGCAAAATTTCCTTCATAGCACACTGTATGGCGTATGACTGTCTTAATTAGCCCAGTCCAGCTTAGTATTTTTATATCCCCACATTTTCATGTGGACGTATATTGTATGTCCATCCGTCCACAATTGTTTGTGAACAGTCTACAGGTCACAATTTTTATCCGATTTCAACGAAACTTGAAATATAGGTCTATCTCTCTGGATCACGGTACCTTTCGATATTGACATGTATCGGACCGTAACTTCATGGATTATGGCCCTTGATTGTGCAAAAATCGTGTTTTTAGCTTGTGGACCCTATAGAGGTCACAATTTTTATCTGATTGTGTTGAAATTTGAACTGTAAGTTTATAACCCAAAGATCTTTGTTCCTTTAGATATTCGGGCATATCGAACTATAACTTCCTGAATTATGGCCCCTGATTGTATGAAAAATCACGTTTTTTAGCTTGTGGACCCTATAGAGGTCATAATTTTTATCTGATTTAAAAAAACGTATTATTATATCTCCGTTACACCCTAAGGGCGACTGAGTTCAAATTTCGGCCCAAAATTGACAGACAAGATGGCCGCCCTTCGTTCTCAAATAGCGTATAAATAATAAATATGATATATCAAGGTTGTGGACCCTATAAGAGGTCACAATTTTTATCCGATTTTGTTGAAACTTGAAATGTAAGTTTATAACACAAAGATCTCTGTTCTTTTCAATATTTGCGCATATTGAATTGTAATTTCCTGAATTATGGCCCTTGATTGTAGGAAAAATCATGTTTTCACTTGTGAACCCTATAGAGGTCTTAATTTTTATCCGATTTAAAAAAATGTTTTAGTGTGTCACCGTTACACCCTAAGTACGGCTGATTTTGAATTCTGTGAAAATCGGCCCAAAACTAACAGGCAAAATAGCTGCAACTTGTTCTCAAATAGCGTAAAAATATGGTATATCAAGGTTGTGAACCCTATAGAGGTCACAATTTATATCCGATTTTGTTGAAACTTGAAATGTAAGTTTATAACACAAAGATCTCGGTTCCTTTCGATATTTGCGCATATCGAATTGTAATTTCCTGAATTATGGCCCTTGATTGTGGACCCTATAGAGGTCTTAATTTTTATCCGATTTAAAAAAAACGTTTTAGTGTGTCACCGTTACACCCTAAGGACGGCTGATTTTGAATTCTGTGTAAATCGGCCCAAAACTAACAGGCAAAATAGCCGCCCCTTTTTCTCAAATAGCATAAAAATATGGTACATCAAGGTTGTGGACCCTATAGAGGTCACAATTTTTATCTGATTTTGTTTAAACTTGAAATATAAGTTTATAACCCAAAGATCTCGGTTCCTTTCTAAATTTGCGCATATCAAATTGTAATTTCCTGAATTATGGCCCTTGATTGTAAGAAAAATCACTTTCTTTTTAGGGTGTTCTCTATCCATCTCTCGAAAATGTGGGCGTATACTGCCTGGCAGCCGCTGGTTTCCACTAAAACATAAACCCACACCTACATACCCTTTCAATTAAACCCTACATTATTTTTACCACCGGTAGCTGTAAACCCCTAGTTCAGATATTTAAGACTGAATTACAAGCATTTAAACTGAAACCATATCTATGACTATAATTGTGTAATTTGTTAACAAATATAGATATAAGAAAAAAGCTAATTATTTATTGAAGTAAAACAATTATTGAAAATCAAAATTACATAGTTACTCTGCACTTTAAATGTCCCAAAGTTGGTCGTTATCACCATCACTGTCACTACATGTATAAACATCAAATTCGGTTTCTTTAACAGTCTTTTTTTTTTTCAATTTCACATTTACTACACTTACACAGATTAGATATGAACATGTTCAAGGACAATGCCAGTCATTCGGATGGGAGGGAAAACAATAGTTTAAACAATATTTGATTCGACAAACTGAATCAGATTGAACAAAAGGTAAGGGGCTACATGGGTGTAGGGGGGCAAATCTCGGTTTGGGGGGAGGGGGCTAGCCTATTTGCCCGAAAAATTTCTTTGTCACCCAAATTTTCTGAATGAATCAATCATTAATTACACAATTATACAATTATATTTCCATGAGATATGGTCGCATTCTCTGATTCTTGTGCCCGAAAAACTGAAATACATTGCCCGAAAAATGGACGGCTCAAGGAATCTGGGTGGTGGGGGCATATATATCTATAAACTTTTAGTTTAGATAAGATTTGGGGCTGTATATTTGAATTGAAACAAAGCATCTATATGTAATTTTCTCACTAAAATAGATATATGGCAAATCTTAAATAATACTGTATGGGAGTGGCAGTTGTAATGAAGAGAAAAAAATAATCAAATGGAGTTTAATGCCTAACTGTTCAGTATCAACCGGGATAATGAAGATGTACATATATGCCCGCCATACATTATGCTATAGGTGGAATTTGGTCCAAATAGCAACGTTACGGTCTACATTTTATTTCGAATTTAAAGTTCTTTTACATACACGCCAACGTGTGCACGGGACCTCAGTTTTATATTCCATCCAAATAACTAGACGCTGCCGATCTCAGCCCCCCACCCCCACTTACTACAAGACTGACAAGGTGAAACAATGCTGGAAAGTTGCAAAATGTGGGCGTATCCTGCCTGGCAGCCGCTGGTTTTGATGGATTAGAAATATGAATAATGGTGTTTGAAGTAAATCTGGATAAAATCCCATCTAAAAACACCACTATCTATGCCTTAAATCTCTTTCGATGCTATTTCTGGCCCCCGGGCGCCCTGCAACCCTAGGTGCTCCAGCGGAAACGTGTCTGTGGCCAGATACCCCTCTGGTCTGTATAATATAGTACTTTCTATTCTACTGCGAATATTTTTTATAATCTAGCATCTATTGTATTAATGTGTTTCCAGCCGAAACATGTCTTCAGGAAGTGTAATCTATATCCAACTCTAGTTTGAATAATTGCTTCAAGAAGTTTAGTATTTTGTATCATTTGAAAATGTTAATATTTAACTTTTACGGCTACTATATCATCAACTGGATATTTAAGGTTTTGAGTAATTGATGCAGACATTTCCCTTGCCCTAAATATAAAATTAGAGGGAATTTCATGAAACTTATAGATAGTAATTCATCATGTTAAACTTTGTGGGGAATGTCACCAGTTGGTGTATGTAGTGTTTGTGGCCACCTTTAGCTTGGTAAACCAAATCATCATCATATACGTCAGGCTTTATCAGATAGTTCTCATGTGTCCATAATTCATAAAGTAATCTAATTCATTTCATTTATTCTATCATGTTCATATCAGTGAGTTTTAGTCAACTATAATAAACAATTGTTATTTAATTATAAATATAGCACTCAAGATGTTTTTTCAGAAATGTGAAGGAGTGTTTAGTTTGCCAGGAAGTACTAGTGATGAGATTGTTTATTCACCTAGCCTGTCTTCTACTACATTTCTTATAGAGGGTAAAAACTGTTGATCACCCACACTTGTTGGCATGATTCACTCTATAAGATAGCACTAACTACAGCTACAACACATTTCATTCTACTGTACCCCATTCCATTCTACATGCTTATATACTCAGTATCAAATTAATATTAAGATTTTTATATTTCCCCACCCCCAAACAAACTGCTTTCAGAAATTCAGAAATCCTATACAGTAAAAACCCATATATAACAAACACACCCTTTATAATCTGCAGTATTAAGGAAAAATTGGCATTACCGTGCAGAATACGCAATCATTTAGTTTATGATCCAAGTGATTCGCACATTTAATGGTAATTTTTGTGCCATTATTTGGTTGGAATTTCAGCGCTATATAAGATGATTATTGTTATTTTATTATTAATTTTGATAATCTCTTTAACATACATGCTTGCTAGTTCAGTTAATATTAAAAATGATAAAGTCTCATGATATCCCAAATTATTTTCTGTGATCACAAAAATAAATGCTTATGGTGCCGATTCTGATACAATCACTGGATAACAAAATATACATTCAAATGTGCACCTATTAATGAACTTATTTGTACAAAGCAGCATAAGTTTTGTATAGACTTGAAATTCACAGCAAATGTGGAATTCTCCAAAGACCTTATATAAAGATATTATTACCATTGTATACTTTGAAAGACGTTTTACAAGGGTTAAATAAAAGGCACACATCTGTTGAACCATTGTATCTTGTTAATTTGTTTATTGTTAAATTTATTTAATAAGTAATGATGCGCCATTGGCCTTTATCACCAAAGTATCAAGTATACTAGATAACGATGTCTCAATTAAAAGTTGTTTGATTTTAGCCAAATGATTCAAACCAGATTGCATGAGAAATTGTTATCCATGTTGAAAATGTCAATAGTGTTTTCTTACTCATGTTCAAAATGGATGTTTCTCAAGATGCACGTTCAAATTTGAATTTATGACTGCACAAATGATATTTTTATGAATGCCAACAAGTATGTTTAGGCATATCAAGTAGTTTGGTTTATTATATGAGTGGTATTGATATCAAAGTTGTATTCTAAATGCTATTCCAAAACCAGCTATATATGGCACGTTTCATGGACATCAATCTCTATTGCAGTGAAAGTGATGGAAAAAGTTCCAGGTTTTTTATACGCCCACGTTTTCATGTGGACGTATTATGCCGTCGCCCATGTCCGTTCATCTGGAATTTGTTTGTGGATACTCTACAGGTCATAATTCTTATCTGATTTTGACGAAACCTGAAATATTGGTTTATCTCCAAAAGATATTGGCAAGTATTGGATCGAAACTTCATGGATAATGGTCTCTGATTGTACAAAAATAATGTTTTTAGCTTGTGGACATTCTAGAGTTCACAATTTTTATCCGATTTACATGAAACGTGGAATGTATATTTATAATCAAAAGATATCGGCTCCTTTTGATACTCTCGCATATCGGATCGCAACTTCCAGGATTAAGGCCCCTAATTGTACAAAAATCGTGTTTTTAGCTTGTGGTCCCCCTAGAGGTCATAATTTTTATCTGATTTACAAAACCATTCAAATGTATCACCGTTACACCACAATACGCAAATAGTGTAAAAGTATGGTACATCAAGGTTGTGGACCATCTAGAGGTCACAATTTTGATGTATATTTATAATCCAAAGATATTGGTTACTTTCAATAATTGCGCATGTCGGACCATAACTTCCTGAATTATGACCCCAGATTGTACAAAAAATCACCCCTTTTTTAAGCTTGTTCTCTGTCCATCTCTTGCAAAATATGGGCATGGCATCCAATTCTTTCCCTTGAATAACATGCATCCCTAGTTTGTAGGAGCCTCTGAAAGGGTACAACAATAAATGGTGTGTTGTATGCGGGTTTTTATACGCCCACATTTTCATGTGGATGTATATTGGCGTCGCCCCTGTCTGTTCATCCCGATGTCACAATTCTTATCCGCTTTTGACGAAACTTGAAATATAGGTTTATCTGCAAAAGATCTTGGTTCCCTTCGATATTGGCATGTATCAGATCAAAACTTCATGGATTATGGCCCCAGATAGTATGAAAAATCACGTTTTTAGCATGTGGACACTCTAGAGGTCACAATTTTCATCTGATTTTGATGAAACTTGAAATAATGTTTATAACTGAAAGATCTTGGTTCCTTTCCATATTTGCGCATATCGGATCACAACTTCCTGAATTATGGCCCCTGATTATACAAAAGATAGGTTGCCAGGCAACAAAACATACGCCCACAGCAGCTAAATCGTCCGGGCAGTCAACAAGAGTTGTCGCATATTTTTACTTTTTTCGGTAATAAAACATTTATAATATACTAAAATCTGATTAAGAGCAACAACTCACGAAGTAATTATCAGAAAAGTATTAGAATTTGTTTGGTTTTTTATAAAGTTCTGCCCCATGCTAACGTTTTGTATACAAAGCTTTTAATATCATGGATTTAAAGGGACTATCCCGATATCAAGAGAGTCTCAAAAATAAAAGTCGGAGTACGTATGAAATTAAAGCGCCAAAATATAGAGGAATGGGATATTTACCTTCTCTCAAAATTCCAGCTCAAAATATTAAGTCGTTTGGATGTGAATGTCAAAATTGCTTATCCGGACACTAACCCTTTTAAGATTTCGGGTCGTTTTTTTCGTTGGGTGACCCAATAATCGATTCCTGTTCCTTGAGAGGTCTATGTAGGGAATGACCCATGTGCTGTACTTGATAACGAAAGGTAAATTTCAACTACACGTTATTTTTATAAAATAAAAGTCTGGTTTTATCCAGACACCGCATAATACAGCTTGGGACACCGGTCTCCATTTCCAGACGAAGACTGACAGGTTTAAGTGGTTTGAAAACTTATCACAAATATTGAGTTAGTTGCTCGGCCCTCAGCTAGAGGACTTAAAGGGGTTTTAACACAAAATTTTATTCCCCCAAAAATATCGGGATTAGTCCTTTAACTGTTCAAGTCATAAAAATACATTGAAAATCAATATACTTGTTCGTCTCAAGATCTTAAACTCTGTGTATCAATCTGAAGTCAATCGGATGATAACTTTAGCCTTTAAAGCGTCACAAGATTTTGCAAAGTGATCAAGGGCCATAACTTTGGCAATAATTATCGGAAATCGTTGAAAATCAATAGGAATCTTCGTCTCATGACCTCAAACACTGTGTATAAATTTAAGGTCAATTGGATATTAACTTTGGCCTCTAGAGTGTCCACAAGATTTTTCAAAGTGATCAAGGGCCATAATTCTGGCAGTAATTATCGGAAATTGCTGAAAATCAATAGGCTTCTTCGTGTATAAATTTAAAGTCAATCAGATATTAACTTTACCCTCTAGAGCATCCACAAGCAATTATGGACGACGGACGGGGGCGACGACAATATACGACCACATTTCAATGTGGGCGTATAAAAATCCAGTTTTTAGCTTATGAAACCTCTAGAGGTCACAATTTTTATTCGATTTTAATAAAAAAACGTTTAAATATATCAGTGTTACAACCTAATGATGGTTGAGTTTGAATTTTGTAAAAATCATACTCTAACTGCTCAACAAAATGGCTGCTCCTTGTATGCAAATAGTGTAAAAGTATGTAATACCAAGGTTGTGGACCCTTCAGAATTTTTGTCTGATTTGGATGATACTTAAAATATATGTTTATATCCAAAAGATTTTGATTCCCTTTGATATTTGTGCAGATTGGACCATAACTTCCTGGATTATGTTCCATGATTGTACGAAAAATCGCCTTTTTTTCTTGTAGCTTGTTTTCTGTCCATTTCTTGCAAAATGTGGGCATATCTTGCTTGGCAAGCGCTTATTGCAGTATATGACACAGAAAATGTTATACTGTTCGTAAAATGGATTTGAAGACAGTCATATTTTTCCTTACAATTTCACTCCGACTTGATGTAGATGTTTTAAAATGATAAGCAATGAAATGTGTTTAGCCTAAGGTTAAAGTAGATGTTAATCAAATTGTGTTTGATTTATATTAAGTGTGTTCTGTGTGTGTTAGTAAAGTCATATTGCATTTGGTGCATGGTCTGCACTAATAGTTGATTGACAAATTTGATATAAGTATGTTTTGTGTAGTACAATAGATCAAACATATATAATGGTCAACATTAAGGCCTTACAAAAAAATATTCTGCTTCTCAGACAATCCTAACAAAAATCTGATCAGAAGGGTTGTTTTTATTTTTGACTTTTCGCATTTCAAGGTTTTACATTGATTTTATCAGTTTATTCATCATGTTTACATATATTCACTTACATGATTACTGATTCTCATTGATATAATTTACTGTACGCTCAGCTGAATTCAAGTTTATTGATGATATTTTATAGTTCTAATGTGAATGCTGATCCTTTCAGTCATTTCCTGCTCGAAAAAAGTTTAATCAGTGTTCATATTAATGTCTCAGTTTACTGTTATCCAATACCATTTTTGATTCCCTCAATAACCTATATCAAGAGTTATGTACAGTGGACTCTGTCACATCCGATGTCTGATCACTCCGGATTGCTGTGACATCCGACATGATTTTCATGTCCCGATTTATTTCCTTATTACTTCAGCCAAAAAATCGCTGGTAAATCCGGATTCTGTATGTTCCGGATTACGACATCAATCAGCCGTCCCGTCACATAATTTCCATTGAATTGACACCGTATAATCCGTACTTCAAACGGTGGGTGTAAAGCATCCAATTATTGGTGAGATTAAAACTGAATGGGTGTGAAGCCAGAAAAGATTAACAAGCAATCACCAATCAATTATCGGTGAGATTAAAACTCGCAAGCGCCGGTCTGTGTTGATTACTTTGATAATGTTATAAATTCTTTGTTGATTATTTTACAATTTATAATCTCTTGTAAGAGTGCGCTTGGTATTTGATTTTAGTTACTCATGTCAAATACTGCGACATTATATAAAAATT